TTATTGAATTAATGGAACGTCTAAGAAAAGCGAATTTAGTATTAAATCCGGAAAAATACGAGTATTTTAAATCAGAGGTAGTATACCTAGGTTATGTAATCTCGAAAGACGGTTTACTACCTGACATTGCGCAACCTTCAAACATACTGTTAAGAAAAGATCAGCAGTTCATATGGGAAGAACTATTCCAAAAGAAATATTCTATCACGTAGTACAACCTTCTCGATGGTTACTGTCGAGATTTTAGCCGGATCGGAGTTGTCGTCTATTTTTGAGAGCGTGTGAAAGCAAGTGTGTCCGTTGATTTTTGAAAAATGGAAAAAGAGCAATATCGGTCGGTGATTCTATTCTTGTTTTTGGAAGGGAAATCGCGCAGCGAAATCAAAAAGCGCTTGGATACTGTGTACGGTGACTCTTCTCCTTCGATGGCGATCGTCAAAAATTGCTTTAACGAGTTTCAACATGGTCGCACGTCGATTTTTGAAGAGCCACGTCCAGGTGCTCCGAAAACGGCTACCACGGAGGATAACGTGACAAAAATTCACGATCTCGTATTGGCAGATCGACGATTGAAGGTACGCGAGATAGCTAAGATCGTAGGCATCTCAAAAAACCGCGTGGGTCTGAATGACTTTTTTTTTTGTCCTGCATGAAATTTTGGGCATGAGAAAGCTGTCGGCGCGATGGGTGCTGCGTTTGCTCACTCCGGACAACAAGCACAACCGTGAGACAACTTCAGAGCAATGTCTGACGCTGTTTAAGCGCAATCCGAAGGAGTTTCTGCGTCGTTTTGTGACAGTCGACGAAACGTGGATCCACTGGTATACACCAAAGACCAAGGAACAGTCGAAACAGTGGACTTTACCCGGCGAAAGTGCTCCGAAGAAGGTGAAGACTGACCCATCGACCGGAAAGGTGATGGCCACCGTTTTCTGGGATTCACAAGGTGTGATCTACATCGACTACCTGGAGAGGGGCAAAACGGTTACAGAGCTGTACTATGCCGAATTATTGGGCCGATTCGATGTCGAATTGCAGAAAAAACGGCCCCATTTGACGAAGAAAAAAGTGCTCTTCCACCATGACAACAAATTGGTCGAATTAGGCTACGAACTGCTGCCCCATCCACCGTAGTCCCCAGATTTAGCTCCGTGCGAGTTCTTTTTGTTTCCAAACTTGAAAAAGTCACTCGCCGGGCAGAAATTTGAGTTGAATGAGGAGGTAATCGCTGCCACGGAAGCTTACTTTTCAGACCTCGAGGAAACGTATTTTTCAGACGGGTCAAAGAAGTTGGAGCATCGCTGGGCCAAGTGTATCGAACTAAAAGGAGACTATGTTGAAAAATAAAACGCCACTTGTACAAAATTTTCGTTTTTCTTTTGTAGGCTAAGTACTTGTCGGACCACCCTCGTAAATAACATCTTCATACAGGATAATGCATCCAACATAGAAGCAAGTTCGATTATACAGCATGTTATGGATCATTTGAGAGATATTAAACGTGTCAACGATTCTCTGAATCCTCTTGTCAACACTTTGCATGTTGACAAAATTAAGGGGGGAGGAAAAGCTTTATCTTTTCAAAACAGTTACGCATTGAGTAACACAAAAAAAGTTATATAAATTCATAACATTTTAACATGCGTATAAACGATCTATCTTATATTGTGGGCGATGAACCGAACACTTATTACTTTGACAATGGCCTGCATCAACAAATTAAATCAGTAAATTCGAAAACTGACGTTATAAAAAGATGTGTGCAACTGTTAAAACAGAACCCGAACGTAACAGACAAAAATCAGGCCGCTAATTTCCACAACACAATTTCACTCATTAAAGAACTACAACATGAAAGCAAAGAAATTATGTTATTAATGATTGTTTAAATATAACAAATATTTATTAGCTATGCACACTTTACAAGCAGTAATATATGAAATTGCAAAGATATCACTTTTAAAATTCATTGTTAAACCTAATAGTAATAATACAGCAAATATTGCTGACATGGCACAGTTACATTTTATGATGTATATAAAAATACTAATAGTAGAAATAGTACTACCGTTCATAGATGCCGAACAGTTTGTCGTGTACAAAATGATGTCATTTCCAGTTTTTCAACATTCTGAGACAAACAAGTCAATCGCTGCATACATTGAACCGCGGAATGATTACATTGTTGTATCAGAAACTAATAATTCATATTTCTTTATGAGTGAAACGGCCTTTGTAACATGGTAAAATATTATAGAATACGTAGTGTCGAATTAATAGAAAATACTAAAGCATCTTGTGAGTTCAACATGCTAATAAAGCCAAAAATCAAAACTTTATATGAATGTAATGTTAAATTATATCAAGATGAAGATTATTTCCTAATCAAAGCTGCTAGCAGTCATCTCTGGTTATTTTCCACGAGAGAATATGATTTATTAAAAATTAAATGAACTAACAAATTGATATCTATTTCGAAGCTTTCTTCTGGCATAATTGAACTCCCTAGGTCTTGTAATATATGGGCCGACGGAAAAATATATAGAGGAGCGATCGGCAATAAAGTAATAAAAAATCTAATTATTCCGCCTTTTCTACTAACTCTTTTAAATATAGACCAGCGGTTAGACAGTACAACTAAAATTGAGATAAAACCGATCAATACCCTAACAACAAAAGTAGAATCAATAACAATGAACTTGTCAACTTGGAACTTTATTTGTATTAGCATTGCAATTTTATGTTTAATTATAAGTTCTCTAATTATGTTAATTGTATATCGCTATGTCAACAAAAAACAAAATAGAAGAGGCATTACAGTAAGCGAAACATATATACCAATGTCGAAATTAGATACCGGATTTAGATACGATTTTACGGGGCCACCGTTTTACGAGATACCCCGTATACCAACTAAAAAGGTTCATGACTATGAAAATATGTTACCAACTCTATTAGAATCAACCCAGGATGAAGAACTAAAGGAAGACTCGTCAGAACAAATAGGAATTGAAAGCTCAGAATCAATAAATATCAAAGAATAAATAAGTATACCTGTTATTGAGGGAATCAGCCGGCTAGTTGCAGTTTTAGCATTCATATGAAACACTTAGCTTTGCGGGGAAACGTTATCCGTAGTATTAGGCCAAGTGTGTGTAATAAAGCTTTCCTAGTGTGACTAGAGTAGGTCATGGATTGTAAAATGGTAATCATCCAGGAACATAAAAGTAGAAAGAGAGAAGTAGGGAATAAGAAAAAATCACTATTAAAACGAATAGAGTAAGAGGAAATTAGTTAGTCTATAGAAAAGAACAGAGCAAGCAATTAATATAATCCAGTGAAAAATATACGTTCAGTGTGTTTCCATCAAACTCATAAGTGAAAGAGGATTTTGCCACGGTTTTCTCTTTAACGAAGTAGGTGTTATGCACCGAGATCCTCTAGGACTGTTTGAAACTAGTGAAAACTACTGTAGAACACCCGAACCATTCTATATTTATCGCTGGGGAGCTTGCCGCTGGTTGAACAAAACAGCAAGTCAATACGGATACAAAGTGCGGACTTTCCAGCCAACCAACACGTATGAATTAATCGGGGAAATACTATATAATAACTCATCAGAATTTCAAGAAATATGCAAGGAAAGTATAACGAAGATGGGATATTCACTGCTAGGCCCAGTAATACCAGGACTCACAGTAGCACAACAACAAGCCAGAGGCAAACGTTTTACATTAAAAAACAATAATGAGATATTTCAATATCCTGAATATCCTACAGTAACAAAAGATAATTTATTCAGGAGCCAAAATTTGCTTTTTGAAACCGTGAGTGAAAGTACTGATATCTTCATTCAGCATCTGTTTAACCCTTTGAAGCACAGTGTCCATCCTGATGGACACATTGATTTATTGCTTCTTTTGCCATTTTAGAACAACATTATGGATTTCAACAGGGTCTTTTGCATTCTTTCAGTTCATTAATAGTTCAAAAACATAATTTTGCAGTTGAAATCAATATATTGGGTTATTTTTTAATATTTTTAAATGAACAAAGAAGAAAAAAATTGAATTTTTGGGGAGAAATTCATTATTGACGCGAATAATGAGAGTATCCCTTTCAAATTTGTTATACAAAGGTTTTTGGGATCGCTGAATAATAATTTGACATCAGATTTCAAAAATTGTGTATCCAAAATGGCGGATCTAAAATGGCGGGCAAGAAGATTTTCTATATTGATACCAATACTCTAAAATTCATATCTAAAGGGTTTTAGGGGTCGCAGATAACGATTTTGATATCAGATTTCCGAAATAAAGCTTTCAAAATGGCGGATGTGTATATTTTTATATTGGCTTGAATATTCTCAAACTCATATCTAAAGTGCCTCAATCTCAGTGATAATCAATATCATACTAGTTTTCTGAAATTCTGCAGCCAAGATGGCCAAAGGATATGATTGATGCACATGCTTATTTGCATGACTTGAAAGTATAATATCTCAGAATAGTGGATACTTCTTTCACTCATTCTCGGCATTACCCGGAGCTTACAACGAGGACGTGATGAGTTCAAGCTCCATTTACGTTTTTTTTTGTATTTTTCATATTTTATATTTTTTTGTATTTTTTATATTTTATATATTTTTTTTATTTTTTATATTTTATATTATTTCTTATTTTTTATATATTATTTTCTGCATTTTTTATGTTTCATTTTCAGGGTTTTTATTTCCTCTTTTCCTCCATTCTTCCTGTAGGAGGATCCCCTTTGCATTATCAATAAATTTGTACTGTAATATTGTTACTGAGTATTCTTTGAAATTAGACATAAAAACATGTTCTTCATACAACCAGAGCAACAAAACTCATTACTGTCTATATGTGATGTTTTTGAAAACAATTTCTTTCCGGTAAAAGACACAGAGGAACATTACAAGTACTACAAATCCATCTCGTCTTCTGTGGCTTATCTCTTGTAGAACAGTGGTTACATCTTTTTTATGTATCTGAGACTTGTGGCATGTGAGCAGCATTAGAAAGTCTCTTTTCATCAGGTACTTTGATTTTTGCATGGCTTGGAGTATTTGGTGCCGTTCTTTTCCTACCTTTTGGAGTTGGGATCTTATGTACCACCAATTGTTCTACCAATCTCATTCGGAATTTTTTCAATGACAAAAGTGGTTTGATTTTTTTTTCCTTGTACAAAATGAATCCGTTACATATGCAGAGATCGATGAAGTGCCAAAAAATTCTAAACCACCATTTTTTGGACTTACGATCAATCTGGTAAGTAGATATTGCACGATCCGCATAGTCGACATATCCCATGTGTGTGTTATAGTCTGAACACAAGACAGGACTGTTGACAGGAGTTAGAGTACCATCTTTTTGCCTCCGATTCATAACAGTTACTTCGGTAGGGTCGTGAAAATTGGATAAAAAGTATACTGGTTTTTTATCCATCCACTTTATCCATGTGAGTCCTGATGTCGAGGTCTTGTATTCGTACTCTCCAATAACCATTTTTTTATCAGACTTATCACTTTTGGGGAGATTCGCGCGATTAGATCGTACTGTGCCACATGCAAGGATATTATCCTGTTTTAGAGATATTAGAAGCTCTACTCCTGTGAAAAAATTATCAAAATACACCTGGTGATTATGACCAACAAGGTCACGTGTAAGATCACAAACCACACGTGCTCCTAATTGTTTTTCAGGACTATCTGTTTTGCCTGTGTAGATCTGAAATTGACAAACAAATTCCGATTCATCTGCTCGGGTCCAAACTTTGTAACCACGTTTAGTTGGCTTGGCTGGCATATATTGTTTCATGCTACTCCTCCCCTTGAACTTGATCATTGATTCATCAATAGCTTGGTGATGGCTTGATTTCCAGCATTCTCTGAATGTTTCAGAAAGAGTGTCGAGAAGAGGTCTTAGTTTATACAATTTATCGTATCCTGGATCTCCTTTTGCTGGTTCTTTTGAATTATCATTGATATGCAAATGAGACAAAAAAATCCAAAGCGATTCACAGTCATCAGTGAAGAAATATATGAATCATGGAATTGAGGGCTATTAGACCAATAATCCCGATACGAAGGTAACTTCTTGTAACCCATATGGATATTGATCGCTATGAAAATTTTCAACTCATCTTTGGTGATAAGATCTCCTTTTGACTTCTTTTGAGAAATAAACAAATTTGTTTGCTCTACAATAACATCTAATAGAGACTCAGGGAACAAACAAAGAAATATATCCTTTGGAGAAGACGCGGAGTCAGGGATGATGGGTCCGTGACTCCTACTGAAAGGTAAATCAGTCTTTGGAATACTCGTCGATCTCCAAATTTCACTTTTATTTAAATCTGTAGTGGTTGTTTCGTCGTCAATTTCTTCTTCGTGTGCCTCATCTTCGAGAAGATTGTTGATTGAAGGGGCAACATGATCTACTCTGCGATCCAATACCTCATCTTCATCATTAGAATCGCATAACCCATCAACAGACTCTGAATCACTAGGAATTTCATTCACAATTCGCCTTCTTCTCCCCATAGTTACAAAATAAATCTCTTCTAAATTTGTTGATATAAAAAATATGAAAATTGAAGAGTACTACGTAAAAATTGATTCCTAATTGGCGGGAAAAAATGCCCGCAAAACAAGAATATTATGAACACAAATATACAAAACGCCTATTTGCTCTTCAACTAATATAGTGAATCCACTCCGGTCTTTTAGTCAATGAGTGTCAACAAATATATGGATGACTCCAGAAGCAAAGAGCCGATCTTTATTTATTTTTCGTAGGTCGGGGGTTGAGGGCCTTTTGGCGATTTGTATGAGCACCAAACACTTTGTATTGAATGTACTCTCCATGGGTCTGAGGGCCATATATATATATATATATTTTTTTTTTTGTTTGAGAGATTCATTCACCTAATCAGAAAACAAAATACTAGAATATTTGACACAGAATACTAAATTATATTATCAGATTTGTTATCAGCACGACCGAAAACCCTTAGAAATTACGTTTCATGAAAATGAAGTCCCTAAAAATGAAATTTGATATCCGAATTTTTGGATCTATTATTTCGGAAATCTGATATCAGATTCGTTATCAGCGAGCCCTAAAAGCCTTTACATTGAATTTTGAAGTATTCAGGCCAATATAGAAAATAAATGCCTGTCCGCCATTTTGAATTCGCCATTTTGGATACATCATTTAGGAAACCTGATATCAGATTCGTTATCAGTCACCCCTAAAACTCATTAGTTATGAATTTTAAAGTTTTCAAACGAATATAGAAAAAAATCTATGTCCGCCATTCTGAATCCGCCATCTTAGATGCAAAATTCGAACAATCTAATGTCAGATTCATGATCAGCGACCTCAAAAACCCCTATATATAAATTTTCATCTAAATATCCTGGAGAGAAAAATGTATGCTTCAAAGGGTTAAGATAGATTATGGTAGTCTTAATACAGATAACCGCCTTACGTTTGGATATTGTGCAGTGTGTCAAGTACCGTTATTAGGAGTACGTAATTGTCGTTACTATACGGTGTTACATTTAAGCAAACAGTGTAAAGACGTGTTGGTGCAAATTTTGGAGTGCCCCTTTGCAGAACATCGGAAGTCATTAGAAAATGATGATGAAAGTTGCCGGTTCCATCAAGGAGGTAGTGAATTAATTCAGGCGTGGAGTAGGCAAGTAGACCAGTTATATTCAGAAAACAGTAGCTATTGGCTAAATCTTAGTGAATAAATTTTTTTGGGGGCTATTTTTATATGAAAATAGAAATAAATAAATAAATTATTATTAGAGTGAATTTATACTGCAATTTTCCGGCAAGGCTCCTCCAAAAACAGTTGACATATAATATACTAAATTCGACACCTGGTGTTCGAATAAATTAAGTAGTATCTAGCAGTAGGAAAGAAATAAAATTAGAGTTTTATAGCTAGATTAGTGATTAAGCTCTCGGTTCGAAAGGTAGAGTAAAATAAATGGGACTTAGTTGCCAGTAAGAGAGCATCGTGTCAACTAGTTTTGTGTCTGTGCCTCTATAAGTATAACATGTTTGTGAGTAAGGTCTTGCAAAAGTTGGAAGAGGCTTATGGAGAAAATCACGGATTTGTGAACACCGAAGAAGGAGTGATAAGTGATCCCTTAAACTTAAATGTATCGACGAGGAATCATCTTGTGGTTAAACAGTGTAGCAGTGAAAATGGGGTGACCATCCAGAGCGGGTAACCCTACAAATCAAGTCCAAGTCTTACGGTAGATTTATTATGAGAGCTGCGAGGACTACCAAAAAGCATCGGAGGATTGCGCTTGTATGATGGGATACGACCTAATCTTACCAATACTACTGTGGGCAAAAAGTAAGGTGAATTTGTTTGTAAAATGAAAAATCTTTATTTATTCTTCTACATCAATGTCATCCCCTTCGAAGTAATTCCCTCCCGATAAAATACACTTATGCCAACGTTTTTTCCAATCCTCGAAACATGCCAAATAGTCCCTTTCCGGTATAGCCATCAGCGCCTTCTTCGATTCAGCTCTTATCTCCTCAATCGACTCGAAACGCGTTCCCCGGAGTGGTCTCTTGAGTTTTGAGAATAGCCAAAAGTCACACGGAGCCAAATCAGGCGAATACGGTGGTTGCGGAACGATATGCGTCGAATTTTTGGCGAAATGGTCACGAAGAACGAGTGCAGTGTGAGATGGTGCATTATCGTGATGCAAAAACCAAGAGTTGTTGGCCCATAATTCTGGTCTTTTTAGACGAATTGCTTCACGCAAACGACGCATAACGCTCAAATAATATTCCTTATTAACAGTTTGGCCGGGTGGAAGGAATTCATAGTGCATCACACCACGAAAATCGAAGAAAACTGTCATCATGACCTTGATTTTTGAACGACTTTGACGTGCTCTTTTCGGTCTGGCCTCGCCTTTAGCACGATATTCGCTTGATTGGTCGGTTGTTTCAGGGTCGTAAGCATAAATCCAAGTCTAATCTCCCGTAATCATGCATTTGAGCTTGTCCTGATAGTCAGAAAGCATTGTTTCACACACATCAACGCGGCGACTTTTTTGCAAGAAATTGAGCGTTTTCGGTACCAAACGAGATTTGACTTTTCGTAGGCCCAAATGGTCTTTCAAAATTGTTTTCACAGATCCTTCTGATATTCCGATCATATCAGTAAGGTCTCTAACAGTCAACCGACGATTTTCGAGCACTAATTCCTTCACTTTATTGACGTGTTGGTCATCTGTTGACGTCGATGGTCGTCCGGAGCGCTCCAAGTCATCAACACGTTCTCGACCCTCTTTGAAGTCTTTGTACCACTTATAAATATTTTTCTGCGACATGGTAGAATCACCAAAGGCCTTCCGCAACATCCTCAACGTTTCCGCAGCCGAAATTTCATTCCGCAAACAAAATTTGATGGCACTTCTTTGCTCAATTAAATCAGACATTGTAAAAATCGAAACATGCACTCTTGGTCGTTTGGTAAACACAAGCGTAAATATATTACTGATGATGACATTGACATGAAATTTGTCCCAGATGTCATTCGCAGTCCTACCAACTCAAGAAAAAAAGAACTAGCCCGAAATGTTAAGCCCGCGAAGTTTAAATTGAAAATTCACCTTACTTTTTGCCCACAGTAGTAGTACCCGGACCAGATGTAACCAACGAGCAGCTACAAACTATCATGAAAAGGTGGCAGTTAAGGTATGAGAATGATCAATTACAGTATGTAGAGTATGTTCCTCGACCATCTGATGAATGTACCAGAGAACATATGCAAGTATGGATAGACTATTTAGGAGAAGAACATACACCGAATTTGTGCATTTGCCTTATGGAGGTAGAGGTTTTGCGAACCTATTAACCTTTGATAACTGTGTTCAATGCTCTCGGCCTCTACCTGTGTGGCGTTTTTGTAAGCTATGCATTTAAAATACTTAAGCCACGGACCAAAAAATATTTCCCTCATCTGTTGGGAGTGCCGGTAACTCCTCATCAGAATGTCCTTCAACCTGGAGAAAAGTGCCGTATATGTAAACCTGGCACCATAGGAGAAGAAATCTTTTTAAGAAGATTAAATGTAGTGTGGAGTGGTGGTTTCTTGCCTTTTGAAAATTAGAGACTTTATATTAAGTAGTGCTTAGAAGTGTTTCTCTTTCAAACATATATATATGTAAAATTACTTTGTGTTTAGTACGTAGTGTTTATTGTAACTTCGTTATGTGCAAGGTATAAGTACGAGTATAAGTATAATATTTTGATGTACGAAATTTCAAATAGACAGGTGCAATTTGCGAGCGCGCTGCGTCGCTAGTCTTCAGGGGCGGACGTGTTACATCGAGAACGAGTCAGACTATTTTATAGCGGTAAGGCCTAGGAACACTACGAGCGCTACTGATAAACACATTTGTAGTACAAGTACACATAATCCAAGATTCACGGCACCCGAACTTCCTGTTGAAACTCAAAAAGCGTATGATATTAAACTTAGTGTTACTACGATAAAGAGACGACTTCATGAAGATGGACTATACGGTCGAATAGCAATTAAAAAGCCGATTAATAAAAAGAAACGATTGGCTTGAGCCAGAAAACATAAAATTTGGACCATTAATGATTGGAAAAAAGTTTTGTGGTCTGATGAGAGCAAATTCGAGGTTTTTGGTAGTAAACGCAGATGTTTTGTGCGGAGAAAAAATAAGCAAAAAGATTTAGAGAAAAATATGTGTGCTTCGGTTAAACATGGTGGCGGCTCAGTAATGGTATGGGATTGTTTTGGTGGTTCTAAGTCTGAAAAAAGAAGGTTACAAAAAAATTCTTGAAAAAAATGTTGTATCTTCCGGAACAAGAATAATTGGTCGCAAATTTACGTTCCAACAAGATAACGACCCAAAGTATACTTCAAAGTTATGTAAAAGTTATCTTGCTTAATTGGAGAAGAAAAAAAATTAGTTGTGATGGAATGGCCACCGTACTCGCCTGATCTTAACCCTATCGAACTGTTGTGGAATGATCTAGATAGAGCTGTAAGGAAGGTAGGACCTACTTCCCAGAAGGATCTTTGGAATATCTTAGAAAATGAGTGGAAAAAAATAAGTGCAGAAACTTTAGAGAAACTTGCAGCACGAATGCCTCGAATTTGTAAAGTAGTTATAGCAAACAAAGGTGGACATTTCGATGAAAAAAACCTTTAAATAATTAGTATTGTTTCGTTTTTGTTTACAACTGAAATTTATATTCAGATTGTGATAATATATTAATTACAAGTGTTATTAGTATTATAAAAAATGAAATTATTATTGTTATGTTATTATTGAAACATTGTAATAAATAAATTTTGTAGAAAAATTGTAACCAAATTATGTTAATCTATTCTGAGTAAGTAATAAATTATGGTTCAATAAATGTATCTTGTTATCATTGTTTGTAAGCCCATTCATTTATAAATACTAGTTACTTACTAATTTTATTAAATATATGTAACTTTAGTTTTTTTTCGAGAAAA